TGAACTGCTGGAGGCACTGCTGCTGCCGCCGCTGCCGCTGCCGCCTGGGAGTTGAACGATCGGTCGACCACCATGGGATATGGGCCAGTGTACCCCGGAGGCGGTTCTGGAGGCAAGGGCGGCTGAGGCCCTGGCTGGCCCGGCCGGGTCGGATGGCCCGCTGCCTGACCACTCCCTGAGGACGATGCGCCTCCGGTGGGTGGCCCGCGGTCTGCCTGATCCACCTCTGCCTGGACCTGCGCCTGCCTCGCCGCCGCCTCCAGGGCGTCGCTCTCGGTCGCCGCTGCAGCTGTCTCCTCCGCCGAGGGCTCGTCCCAGACGTAGCCGTCCGAGTCGGGTTCTCCAGGAGCACGCTCCCCGTTGAGGCGAGACTGGCGTGCTCGCAGAAACGCCTGAGTGGCGTCCCACGCTCCCTGGTTTCCCTTGCTCGACGTCCCGTACTCTCCTTTCTTCTTACCTCCGAGCACGGGATGCACCGCCAACCACGCCAGGAGCAGCCCTCCGAGAACCATCGAGTCTGGACAGGCGCTGTTGCTGGACCGCAAGAAGTTCGTGAACTGAGAAAGCTAACACCAGCAAGGCTAGACTTGAGCCGAGGTGGACTACGGAAGAGACAACTGCCGCCACTGTTATCACGGAAGCAGTCAGTTCAGTCCATCCTCTTGGGCTCTCGAGAACCCTTCCTCCCGAAGACCTCCTCGGCCTCTGCACCTTAGCTTGACTTCCGGATCCTAAGGCCTGGCTCGGGCCCAGCTGAGCCCATGACTGGAGGAGCTCCCTCGATTGGTCGTCCTGGTGCTCCGATTGGACGTCGACCCGATTCCTGGAGTGGACGATCGAACTGGTGCTCTGAGTCCTGGGCCTGGATGTCCTCCGAGTCCTGGTCCTGGCCCTTGAGCTTCCCCTCGTGACCCGCAGCAGCAGCATGAGCAGCAAGACGATGGTGATGAGGATAGGAATGTAGCCGGTCACCACACCAATGTCCGACATCTCTGGGAACTGTCCTGCAGCAGTCTGAAACGAGTCAGCACGCAAAAAGGGGTATCTCTTGATCGCGGCTGCTGGTGCCACTGCCTCTTGGTCGAGAGGCCCCACGATCTCCACGAGGCGATGACCTGAATTGAGACGGCAAAGGGGCACCTTCTGACCTAGGCGCCCAAGTTGCATGCTGTTCCTGGGCAGATCAATGACGGCCTCGAGAAACTCCAAAAGATTCACGCTGAGAATATGCGGAACATTGTCCGCCAGCACTGTGGTCTCTATGATGCCGAAAGTCTGGCCTAAGCACAGCGGAAAGAGAATAACATTGATCACGCGCGCGGCTCCACCGACGCCGTGGGCCGCCTTGAGCGGGCGGTCGGCCTGAGGTATCTCGACGTACCTCAACCCGAGCTCCGCCAGGGCTCGAGACTCTCGGTTGAGTGCTCCGACTCCCACGAGGTCGCTGCCGGCACCTGGGTCGACGAGCCCCTGGGTGGCGGACGTGGTGAGGAGAACCGCGCTCGACTCGATCTCCAGCTGCGCCTGCTCCCAAGCTGGAAGGCTGCCCGCGCCCGTCTCCACCGTCGCCACGAACTCGGAGCCGCCGACCTCGCCGACGATGCCCGAGAACATGTACGCGGATGCCCCTCGGCCGTGATCCTTCACAGCTCGGCGATCCTTGGGTCCGTCCTTCTCTGGGCACTCCCGATGCCAGTGGCCCTTCTGCTTGCAGATGCCGCAGCGTGTCACCTTGATCAGCTGCTCCCTCGTGAGACGCCGTCGATCGAACCCGCGACCGCCGCGACCGCGACCGCCTCGACCGCCGGCGCCGTCCCCGCGGCCTCCGCCGCGTCCTGGGCGACCTGCCGGATGTGCCCGAGGAGGTCGAGGCGCCCGGGAGTCAGGCCGAAAATACTCCCTGTCCTGACGAGCAGCACGCTTCAGCTCCTTGTTCTGCTTCCATGTCCTGGTATTCTTGGCCTCGAGCGTCGCCAGCACCTCGTCCACCTGATCCTCGGACACGTCGAGATCGTCGAGCTCGGCCAGCAGAGCCTCGATGTCCTCCTCGTCCGAGGCCTCCTCCTCATCGTCTTCGTCGTAGAAGGTCTCCTCGCCCTCTGCCGGGAAGTCGCCAGTACCCTCTGACCGAACCTGCGACCACGGGGGAGGAGGAGAGAGGAGGGGGGACTGAAAGCCAGGCGACGTCTCGCTAGCCCCTAAACCCTCAGAAGCCGTCGTGTCAGCCAGCATCGCCCCGGCGCCGCGCCCTGGGAGCAGACGCTCTGTGCCACCGGAGTCCATCTGCTTGAGCGCCCACGAGACATTCTCGTAGTCCAGCTTCCCAAGGGTGAGCGTCCTCAAGTTCTGGAGCCCCTGGGCGGACAGGCAGGCGCCTTCCTCCAAGAGCAGGCCCTTCAGCTTGGGCGACATCCATAGATCGTGTCCTTCCGCCTCTTGCAGTTGAGCGTCGCGGCGGATGACGAACTGGATCAGCGACTCCTTCGCCTCGCGGTTGGCCTCGAAGAAGGCTCGACGACCCGCACGGCGAAGGTCATCTCCCTCGCGCTCGCCCGCCATGGTGTCCATGCGGCCGAGCACGATGTCGATCCAGCCGTCGTCGGTCAGACGATGCTCCTGTATGTCCTCGAACTTCGCCTGGAAAGCCCAGTCGAACAGACGAAGGAACTTCTCGGAGCGACGCCAGACTGGCACGTCGGTGTTCGCATTCCAACGTCTGAGCGACTTCTTCCATGCTCTGAAGTGTGCCCATCCTGGCCATGCCGGTGGGTCTGAGTAGTCTCCCTTGGACCAGGCGCCGCCTCCTCCTGCCCAGCTGCCGGGCCAGCCGGCCAGCTCGGGTCGGGACCCGGTCCCGCGGGTCCAGGCGGCGTCGTGAGACCAGCCTGAGTCCTTCTGCCAGCTGTCCTTCTGATCGGGCTGCCGATCCTCCCAGCTGGTCTTCGAGTCGGCCTGCCACCACCGACTCTGCCAACTCTCTCCGCCACTGGCTGTCCACGGATCCGAGTTCTGCCACGGATCCTCGCCCTTCTCGTCCGGCTTGCCAGCGGCTGCGGAGCTGGACGCTGCTGCAGCACTCGAGCTCCTGGACTGCTCCTGCATCGCCGCCCTGACGATGTCCCCGATGAGTCCTCTGAGCTCGCCCCTAGTCACTGCGTCCTCGTCCGTCCCCGCACTCACGTGTAGGTTGGCCCCCTTCTCTGTACCTTCTTCCTCGACGCCCGTCATGGCGTCCACCGTGGATCTCCACGCGTCGCAGTCGGCCGAGCGCAGCGACCGCTCGGGAGCACGCGAACGCCGGCCGGTCACGCCTCTCGGACGTGGACCTGGCTCGCGCCCATGGCACCCCGAGCGACTCCGCGCTCCGCTACCAACTGTGGCAGCACAGGATTGGATGAACGTTTTTGGGCTTGAGCCAGAGAGGGTAACAGTACACCGAGCACACACTGCAACTCGGTAGGACTACCAAGGTAAAGATCTCAAATGCTAAACCTAATACGTAAATTCTGGAGATCAGTCACACATGGCCGTCTTGGAGGCCATCTTGGGCCTCTTGGGGCCGTCTTGGGGCCCTCTTGGAGCCGTCTTGGGGGCCAATTGGGCAGTCCTGAGGCCATCTTGGAGGCCTCTTGGGCGCTCTGGGGGCGCTCTTGGAGGCCTCTTGGGCCTCTCGGGCCGTCGGTAGGCCGAAAAGAAGCAACAGCCCAAACCCTTCAAAGTCCGAAGTACACCCAATGATGTTGACCTCTTCGGGCCTTCCTGGAGGCCCTCCTGGTTGCCTCTTGGCCCGTGTTGGGCCATCTTAGGGCCATCTTCGGCCGTCTTGGTGGGCTCCTGGCCCGTCTGACGCCGTCTGAAGCCGTCTTGGGGGCCTCTCTGGGCCGACGTGGGGCCCTCTTGGAATGCTCCAGGGCCGTCGTGGAGGCTCCCTGGGGCGTCTTAGAGGCCTCTTGGGCCGTCCTGGGGCCATCTTGGAGGCATCTTGGGCTAATTTTGGGCGATCTTTGGGGGCTCTTCGGTCGTCTCGGGCCGTCGGAAGGTCGAAAAGAAGCAAATGCCAAAACCCTTCAACGACCTGAGGGAAACCAATGATTTTGGCCTCTTCGGGCCTTCCTGGAGGCCCTCTTGGGGGCCTCTTGGGCCGTCTTTGGCCATCTTAGAGCCATCTTCGGCCGTCTTGGTGGGCTCCTGGCCCGTCTAACGCCGTCTTGGGGGCCTCTCTTGGCCGACTTGGGGCCCTCTTGGGGTGCTCCAGGGCCGTCTTGGAGGCTCCCTGGGGCGTCTTAGAGGCCTCTTTGGGCCGTCTTGGAGCCCTATTGGGGTGGCTGTCTTGGGGGCTTCTTGGGCAGTCCTGAGGCCATCTTGGAGGTCTCTTGGGCGCTCTGGGGGCGCTCTTTGGGGCCTCTTGGGCCGTCTTCGTCGGAAGGCAGGAAACGAGCAAATACGAACATCCCTCAAACACCTGAGGATAACCAATGATTTTAGCCTCTTGGGGTCCTTTTGGAGAACTTCTTGGGGGCCTCTGGGGCCATCTTGGAGGCCATCTTGGAGGCCTCTTGGGCACTCTTGGGCAGTCTTGGGCCGTTTTGGAGGCTTCTTGGGCGGACTTGGAAGTATCTTGGACCCTCTTGGACCGTCCCGGAGGCCATCTTGGAGGCATCTTGGAGGCCCACCTTGGAGCCGTCTGTAGCAGGGTTAACCTTGGCAATCTGGTCTTCTGGATCCTTCCGGGTGGCCAGCGGGCCGAAACCCAAACCGAAAGGATCCAGCACGCCAGGCCCCCCCGTGGCAAGACCACAGGGGGCGGAGGATATCATTTATTTTTTCATTACTTTGTTTGTTTGTCAGTGCGTGCATGGGGAGGTTCTGAGCGAAATGACTTGATGTATCTTGTCAAAACGAACCCGCTTAAATTGGGGGGACCCTGGGACTCCATAGCCTTCTTTGGTTCGAATGGCCCGGTTGCCTGTCGGACCTTGGCGGTCCTCGCCCTGGGGCTTATGCGTCTCGCGTCCCTCCAGTACCAGGGCCCGTTCTCGCCATCGGCGCTCCCGCCCTGCGTGCTGGAGGCCGTGTGCCCGCCCGCGTGGCTGCGGTCCGGGGACCCAGGTGAGGACTGCCCGCCATGCCCTGAGGCGCCGCCGTGCCCGTCGACGCCCGCGGTCTGCCCGGCGGTGGACCTGGTTCCCGTGGCGACGGAGGAGGACCCCGTCGGTGTCTTCCAGTCGGCGGTCCCTGGGCTGCTGGTGGCGCTGCTGCTGGAAGCTGGCCGCTGCGCGAGGCGCTGGTGCGGCTCGGCCCGACGGCGTGCGGAGATCACCACGGTCGTGGAAGATGGCGTTGCCCCCGCGAGGCGCGGGGCAGGAGTGGTGGAGGCGCCTGGTGCCAGGGCAGCGACTCGTCGTCCGCTACAGTGGCGTGGGTCGGCGCTCGACGATTGAGGAGGCCGCGACGGCTGGGGTAGGAAGCGCGGCGACGCCGCCTGCAGCGGACGGCCCGCCTCACGGCGGGGATCTACCCCTCCTGGAGGTGGACTTCGATCCGCAGGGCGAGAGGTTCAGATCGTTCCGTGCTGCATGCCGCGAATCCTCCCGGCAGGCGTTCCCGGACCAGCCGATAAAACGGCCTGCATCGGCCCCGTCAGTGCGCAAGAACCTGGTGCGCTCCAGCGGGGACTCGCGCCGGCTTCGAGGGCTCCTGAGGTCTAAGATCCTGGGCGAGAGCGACAGGGTGGCCCATGAGCTGCGGGTGCTCTGCGACATCCTCAGCTGGGCCGCCATGTATGACCAGGTGAACCTGGGCGGGCTGACTGGTCTGGAGACGGCAGCTCGGGGTGTGACAGGGTTGGTGGCGGTGTAGTCGCATTCCGCCAAGCCCGTGTAGGGCCGTGCCCGCCTTCGTACGGATGCCGCGTCGTTGGGCGACATTGCGGGCCAGGCGCTGAAGCAGTTTGCGACGAGGAATATCAAGGAGCGGCAGGAGGCCCAGTCGTTGTTCGCTTTCGGCAAGGTGCCCCAGCGCGGCCTGCACGAGGAGGAGGGCGCCGCGGTCGACGGCAAGGGCAAGCCAGGCCGGGCGCCGCCTGGAGGATCGAAGAGGGCTTGGGGGGGGAGCCGATGCCTCCCCGCAGGGGCCATGGCGGCCCACGCGGCCGGGGGGAACCCCGTCCCCAGCCGTGCAACAGGGATAGAGCGGGGTCGGCTTGCCGCCTCGCGCAACGCCAGAGAGCTGCCCCCGCTGCCTAGCTGGCGCTTGCCGAGTCCACCTGAGGACGGCGATTCCGTTCGGGCATGAGCTCTTTGGCGACGCGAGCGGCTGGCGCTCATGATGGGCAACGAGGCGGTGGGCGCGCTGAACTGGCCGGCGGGCTATCGGAATGGGCCGACGCCCTTCGATCCCGATCCGATGCAGGCGAGGTTTTGGAGCGGATCTGCGAGTTGGCCTCGCGGCGGTGCCCAGGCCCTGATGCTCTCAGTGAACGCGCAGCCGTCCGCCGGCTGCTGCGAGGGCGCACCCCGTACGATGGGGCGGGATTCCTCACCTGTGTCGCACCCTTTCAGAAAGGGCTTCGTCTCCTTGCTCGAGACAGTGGAGGGCTGCCCGCCGTTCGAGGACGTGGCCTTCCCGGGGGCCCGGCGCTTCCTGAAGGAGCACCCCGAGCGCGTGCTGCGCGCTGGGGGCCCGACATCGACTGCGACGCCGTACTTCGACCCGGCGCCGAAGCGCAGCGCCGAGACCCATCGACACTTCGTGGCGGACCTGTGGCGCCGAGGCTTCCTGAGGTGGACGCGCCCTCGTTGCCAGGTGGGCCTTCTCTTCGCGGAGAATGGCGACGGCGCGAAGCTGCGCGTTATCCTGGACGCAATGCCCGCGCACGAGCTCTTCGAGCCGCCCCCTGGTGTTTCGCTTCTCAGCGCAGAGGGCCTCAGTCGGGTGTAGTTCGCGCTTCCTGAGGGCGTGGGTCCTCAGGGCCCCGGGGCTCAGGGGCTGCTTCAGGGCTACGACCTCCGCCTGGGGCTCGCGGATGCGAAGTGCTGCTTCTGTGGGCTGCGGCTGCCAGAGAGCCTCTCCGAGTACTTCTGCCTCCCCGAGGTGCCCGCCTTCGCCCGGGGCGTTGGGGGCTAGGTCTGGGAGGGCCGCCCGCTGGGGCGACGCGATCTGGTTAGCCCGTGCTGGGGCGTCTTCCCGATGGACTTCACTTGGAGCTCGTGGGCCGCCCAGCGGGTCAACGAGTGCAGGGTGCAGGGGGTCTGCCCGCGGCTGGCCGAGAGCCCCCTGGCGGGCTGCGGCAGGCCGCCCGTGTTCGGGCCCACCGCCCAGGAGGGCCACTTCTCGCACTGCGCCCATGTGGGCAACCTCGGCGTCGCCTCGACCTCGGAGCGCCGCGTCTCGAACGCGGTCGGACAGCTCGTCCGGGGCTTTGCCGCGCAGGTCCTGCTGTGCACGGCAGCTCTGTCAGCGCCGAGGCCGAGACGCTCGGCGCCGAGGTGTCAGGGTCGTCCTGGAAGACGAGGGCCGCCGAGCAGCGCTTCTGGTTGATCGGGCAGGCGCTGAACGGCGTGCTCCGAAGGCGCCGCCTCGCTGGTTGTGCGGTGGAGGTTCTCGCGGGCCACTGCGCGCATGCTGGCTTATTGACGCGCGGCGCCGTCGGCGTTTTCCACGCCGTGTGCGCCTTCGTGCGGCTGCGCTGTGGCCCGAGGCCTGCAGGGGGCTTCTGGCATTCCGCGGCCTGCTGGTTTTCCTGGAGAGCGATTGGACGCTGCAGTGGAACGAACTAGCTCGCGGTGGCCGCCGACAGCAGCCTGGGGGCCGGGGCGGTGGCGACCACTCGCTGGCCCCGCGGAGCGGCCGAGGTGGGCCGGGCGCAGGGGCGCGCCCGCTTCCGCGACGCGGTGGCCTACTTGCTGGAGGCCGAGAGAGGGGGGGGGGGGCCACCTCCCTGCCGCCCGCCGCGGCGCCCGAGAGGCCGCGCCGATGGCGGCAGGCTTCTGGCGCGGCGGCAGTGGCGAGTGGCGGCTGGCGGTCGCGGGCGACGACGCGGAGCTGGGCGCCGCTTGGGGTGCCGACCCCAGCTACCCTGAGGTGCCCGCGGCGGGGCTCGCGAGCAGCAGCTGGCGCGCGAAGCAGGTGCAGCGTTGGAAGTTCGAGGGGTGTATCCAGATCGAGGAGGCCCGGGCGCTGGTGATGGGCGCTCGTCGGATCGCCCAGTCTGTTTTCGGGGCTGCCTGCCGCCGGCTGATTTTGTCGGACAATATGTCAGTGGTGTTATCTTTTATCAGGAGCCGAGCAACATAATTTGCTTGTCGTGTCCAGATCCGCAGGTTCCAGGTTTTTTTTTGGGCCTTGCAAGGGACGTGACAGTGCCTGTCAGATGGGTCCCGTCCGAGCTGAATCCAGCCGACTATGGGTCTCGCGCTTTCGATTGGAAGGGGCTAAGGAGTCCCTCGGTGCACAGCTTCTCGATACCGTGCCTACCATGGAGTCTAGTTTATAGGTTTCCCCCCAGGGTTCGCGCATCACCAGTCGATGAGCTCAGAACAGATAGTTGGTACGTCTCCTGTTTCGAATGCGTCTCACCACGCGAGCCGCAGTTTGTCCTGCCAGCCTTGTCAAGTCGGGATGTCAGCCTTCCGGGCCAATGCCCGCCCGTCTTGTGTACCCTGGGTGCAGTCTCGCGTCCTCGTATCCCATGTCGGCTCAACCGTTTGGAGGGGCCGGGGGCCCTGGCGCCCCGCCCGTCGGGCGCGCGGCGGCGGGCGCTCGCGCGGGCAGGGCCGCTGCCGCAGCCCGGCCCCTCGGCGAGACAGCCGCGCCTGCTGGGGCGGTCGACGCCCGCTGGCTCCGGGGCGAAGGTGCCGCCGGTGCAGCGGCCGGCGTCGGCGAGCGCGAAGCGGGCGCATGCAGGCCCCGCGGCGCCAGAAGACGCTGTCGGCAGCCTGGCGGCCGCGGGACTGGAAGGTCCGGCTGAGCCTGACCGCGCTGCCGCCCGCGCCTCGTCTTCCCGAGCTGGGCGGGGACTTCCAGGCGCTCCCCCGGGGCTGGCGGCGCCAGGTCGCGCCTGGCAGCGACGACGACAGCGGCGCCTCCGACGAGCAGCAGGTCGCGCAGGCCGGCGAGCGGCGCGAGAAGGGGTTGCAGAGGCGCGCCACCAAGAGGAGGCGGACGCACGGGACCGAGGCGCTGCTGGACAGCGCTGCGAGGGAGGGCCAGACCTTCCTGGAGCGGCGCTCGGTGTTTGCCCCAGCGCGGAGGCGGTGTGGCCTGGACCTCGACGCCTTCCTGGATTTTTGCGACGCGGAGCCCGCGCGCCCTCTTCGGGCCCCCGTCTAGGTGGACGAGGCCCTGGTCGATTACATGAATGCGCTGTTCTTGGGCGGCCGCGAGTCGGCCCAAGGCGATCGGGCGATGGCGGGGCTGATGCGCAGGTTCCCCGAGTGCTCGAAGCAGGGCGAGGCGAAGGCGCCGCGAGCCTGGAGGTGCCGCTGGGGCTGGCGGAAGCTGGCGCCTGGGCGGAGCCGCCGGGCCTGGCCGTTGGCCCTCTGTCGCGGGCAGGCGCGGCGCATGGTGGGTCGCGGAGCTCTTCAGATGGCCGTCTTCCTGCTCAGCATGGTGCGTGGGCACTTCGGACCAAGCCATCTGCTCACTCTGGCGCGCGGAAAGTTCATCGCGCCAGCGCCGGGGGCGCGCCGCCAGTGGCCCCTGCCCTTGTTTTCAGACAGCAAGCCGCTGCGCGGCAAGACTGGTCTGGCGGTCGCAGGAGTCATGCTGGACAGCGGCTGGTCTCAGCGCGCCGCGCCCATCTTCCGAGAGCTCAAGAACGGGGCGCCAGAAGAAAAGGCGTGGGATTTCAGTTACCCACAGTTCCTGAATCTGTTCGCGTTAGCGCTGGAGGTTCTGAGCGTGGAACAGCCCAGTGTCCGGCGCCGGGCCCATTCGGGACCTAGCGTAGATGGTGCCAGGCACTGCAGGTCGCTAGAGGAAATCCAGAAGAGGGGCCAGAGGAAGCGCGCCATCTCGATGCAGCGTTGCGAGAAGGCTTCCCGTCGCGGACAGTCGAGGTCACTCCTGCCCTCCCCGCTGAGAGACACGTTGGCAGACTGCGAAAATCGTTTCGAGGACGTGCTGCTCGGAAAAGGTGCCGAGGCGATTTCCCTGTGAGGCGGCAAGGCCGCCGGCGTAAGTGCGTGCTAGATCTGTTCTCAGGCTCGGATTCGATCGGACATGCAGTTTTATGGCGGGATTGCCTCGGTTTTGATAGTCAGAGCGGTCCCGACGAAGACCTCGTTCAACTCGAAGTCATCGCTCGTATTCGCAGTGCCGTCGCCCGCAGATAGGTTACGGCCGCCGCCCTCGGCCCTCCTTGTGCGTCTTGGGGTGCGGCGGCTGACAGAGGGCGCCGGCCAGGGCGGTTTGCATTGCGCCCGCGGGGTATTCCAGATGTTGCAGAGTACGCTCGAAAGCGAGTCGCCGCAGGGAACGCCGCGTTCTTGGCCGCCCCATGATGAGGTGCCTTGCGCGAGCTAGTGTCTTTTTTGCGTTTGAAGATCCGGTCGACAGTAGGGCGCGGCACACGGCGCAAGTGCACAACCTCGATCAGTGTCAGTTCGGGGTCCGCCGGAGGCAACGCGCGAAGTTTTCGGTCTTCGGCGCGGGCCCCCAGGATACTTTAAAGCTCGACAAGCGGAGCCGCAGTTTTGGAGGGATTTGTTCGTTCTCGGGAAAACCGCGCTTTGTCCTTGAAGGCACTTCGTGCCCGCCGAAACTTGCCGCTCGCATGGTGGGCTGTCTGCTTAGCCGCCAATGGGGTTTTCAGGCGGCTGTTCTTACATGGCCCTCCGCACCCTCCCTGTGAACCCTTTGGGATCTTGGACTTCTGTAGCGTTTCGAGCTTCGCCAAGACGAGTGGCGCGAGGTAGCAGACATGTTCTGCATCTAATGTAGCAGTGAACCTGTGAGTGCGTGCCCGGCATGTGGAACCTGTCCCCCCCAAGCCCGAAGTTTGGGTCTTCGGGTTGGGTTGGGGTGGCCTAGTAAGTAGTCAGGGAGGGTGCCGTAGTTTTCTTCGTGGTTGCTGGCTGTTCTCGTGAATCCTGGGGAGGGTGCCCCTGGATGTTCTGCTTGGTTGGCCGACGGAGGGTCTCATGTTCTTGGAAGCTGTTCTTCTGGCCTAGGTCCGACTGTATCTTCTTGCGGCATTCATCGTGCCAGGTCGATCTGTGACGGTCATGGTGCCCGAAATTGGGCAGCATTGGCCGGAAAACCATGCGACGCCAGGATCTCGGCCACGGGAGGGAGAAGGGTCACCACCACCGCCACCACCACCACCACCACCGCCACCACCACCACCACCGCCACAACCACCACCACCACCACACCACCACCACCACCACCGCCACCACCACCACCACCACCACCACACCACCACCACCGCCACCACCACCACCACCACCACACCACCACCACCACCACCACCACCACCACCATCATCACCACCACCAGGGGGGCCACATCCAGCGGGGAGGTCCACGACGCCTCCCCGAACTGCTGGTACATGATGTCTCGAGCGAGAAGGGGGGCCACACTAGTACGGGGGGACCCCCCTGGTGTTGTTGTTGTTGTTGTTGTTGTTGAACATTATTTCTTCTTAAGAATAATTATTGTTGGGGCCCCTGGTGCACGACCCCCCCGCCGCGCCTAGGCCGCAGCCTCATTTTCATCATTTTCGTGAGGAAGTCTCAGGCAAAACGATGTGGTCCAGATCCGGTTGTTTTGTTGTCCCCCGTTTTCCCTTGCAAAAAATAAGCTAAAGTGGACATTTCTTGTTCTAACATAACCAAACTTCAAGAATCCCTTGTAAAAAAAAGGTAAAGTGGACATTCGCGCGCGCAAGACGAAATCCTTCCAAAACCTTAGTTATCGTAGCATTTTAACATAAAAACATCAAAAAACCAATGGTTTTTTTTTCCAAAAAAAAATTGTCAACATTTCATCCCGCGCGCTCTTGCGGATTCGTAGGAAACCCAACACTTTTTATACATTTCTGTCAAACGGGCTTTTGCGAGCAACTTTTCGAACTTCTGCAACAACGGTTGCGCACCTGCCAGGGCCATCATCCCTGTCAAATAATACCATGCGGGACACATTCGTTTTTTCTTCGCGCGCGCACGCCGTCGTCGTCGGCCGCGGGGCCCTGAATAGTAGCCACGGTCGTCCGCATGCCACGAAGTGAAGTGTCCGAACGTCATAGGGCGGGAAGCTGGGTGTGGGTGGTGGCGAAGAGTCGTTTGGAAATTTGGTAGAGCTTGAACCGGCCCCCCCACAAAGTGGGGGTATTGCCCGCCTCCTATGAAAACCCTGGCACTGGTGAGAACGGAGTGTCCCCACGTGCTAGTAATTGTTGTTGTTGTTGTTGTTGTTGTTGTTGTTGTTGTTGTTGTTGTTGTTGTTGTTGTTGTTGTTGTTGAACATTATTTATTCTAAAGAATAATTATTGTTGGGCCCCCTGGTGCGCGCCCCCCCTGCGCCGCCTAGGCCGCAGCTACATTTTCATCATTTTCGTGAGGAAGCCTCAGGTAATTCGATGTGATCAAGATCCGGTTGTTTTGTTGTAATCCGTTTTCCCTTGCAAAAAACACTATAAAATGACATTTCTTGTTCTAATATAATCAAATTTCAAGAATCCCTTGCAAAAAATAAGGTAAAGTGGACATTCGCGCGCGCAAGACGAAATCCTTCCAAAAGCTTAGTGTTCGGAGCGATTTTAACATAAAAACATCAAAAAACCAATGGTTTTTCAACAAAAAAATGTCAAAATCTCATCCCGCGCGCTCTTGCGGATTCGTAGGAAACCCAACACTTTTTAAACATTTCTGTCAAACGGGCTTTTGCGAGCAACTTTTTCGAACTTCTGCGACAACGGTTGCGCACCTGCCAGGGCCATCATCCCTGTCAAATAATACCATGCGGGACACATTCGTTTTTTCTTCGCGCGCGCACGCCGAAATCTCCAAAAACCATTGGGCTTCTTAAGAATTTTAGCACCGCGCATCATAAAATCACACGAATCGCACCGTAGGTCCTCGAAAAACACCTGCACGACTTTTCAAAATTTCTACCCGCTTAACAACTTCTGTGGGTGTACGAACGTAGGCTTAACAACTTCTGTGGGTGTGTACTCCACGCCAGTGTAGTAGCCACGGTCGTCCGCAGGCCACGAAGTGAAGTGTCCGAACGTCATAGGGCGGGAAGCTGGGTGTGGGTGGTGGCGAAGAGTCGTGTGGATATTTGGTAGAGCTTGCACTGCCCCCCCACAAAGTGGGGGTATTGGCTGGCGTCGCATGAAAACCCTGGCACTGGTGAGAACACTGAGCGTTCGGGTAAAGTGATTGTTGTTGTTGTTGTTGTTGTTGTTGTTGTTGTTGTTGTTGTTGTTGTTGTTGTTGTTGCTGTTGTTGTTGTTGTTGCTGCTGCTGCTGCTGGTGCTGCTGCTGCTGCTGGTGCTGGTGCTGTTGTTGTTGTTGTTGTTGTTGTGGTTGTTGTTGTTGTGGTTGTGGTTGTTGTTGTTGTTGTTGTTGTTGTTTGTTGTTGTTGTTGTTGAACATTATTTATTCTAAAGAATAATTATTGTTGGGCCCCCTGGTGCGCGCCCCCCCTGCGCCGCCTAGGCCGCAGCTACATTTTCATCATTTTCGTGAGGAAGCCTCAGAAAAGAGGGTGTGTACAGGATCCGGTTGTTTTGTTGTAATCCGCTTTCCCTTGCAAAAAACAATAGAAAATGACATTTCTTGTTCTAATATAATCAAATTTCAAGAATCCCTTGCAAAAAATAAGGTAAAGTGGACATTCGCGCGCGCAAGACGAAATCCTTCCAAAACCTTAGTGTTCGCAGCGATTTTAACATAAAAACATCAAAAAACCAATGGTTTTTCAACAAAAAATTGTCAAAATCTCATCCCGCGCGCTCTTGCGGATTTCCTAGGAAACCCACTACTTTTTCAACATTTCTGTCAAACGGGCTTTGCGAACAACTTTTTGCTTCGAACTTCTGCAACAACGGTTGCGCGCATGCCAGGGCCATCATCCCTGTCAAATAATACCATATGGGACACATTCGTTTTTTCTTCGCGCGCGAACGCCGGAATGTTACCACGAAAAACCAGTACAGGTGTCCAGTGTTGGAACAGGGGGAAAAGTCGTATACTAAGCTAGCTTACAGAAAATGTTACCACAACAAGTCACTGTACCCATGCGCCAGTGTAGTAGCCAAGGTCGTCCGCAGGCCACGAAGTGAAGTGTCCGAACGTCATAGGGCGGGAAGCTGGGTGTGGGTGGTGGCGAAGAGTCGTTTGGAAATTTGGTAGAGCTTGAACCGGCCCCCCCACAAAGTGGGGGTATTGCCCGCCTCCTATGAAAACCCTGGCACTGGTGAGAACGGAGTGTCCCCAGTCTTAAATGATTGTTGTTGTTGTTGTTGTTGTTGTTGTTGGTGGTGGTGGTGGTGGTGGTGGTGGTGGTGGTGATGGTGGTGGTGGTAGTGATGTCGCGTCTCCTTGCTCCTTCTCCGGGTCCAGAGGTCTGACGTTGCGAGCCAAAATGCAAGATCCGACGTTGGACTTCATCTTTCTGCGGCAATTTTCGAGCTGTGTCGATTTGTGATTGTCCCAGGGCCCGAAACCAGGCGAAAACGCACTGAGGCGCAGACCTTCTCTGTAGATGCAAGGCTGGCGCCTTCTGAGAAACAGCCTCCTTCCTAAGAAGCCTTTCCCTCTAACACCCCCTACCCCCCTGTGCGCGCCGCCAATCTCCAGCCCGCGCGCCTCGTCCTCCCGTCCTGGCCCCGCCAGGTGCCGCTGCGGGGCCGGCCGACTGCTCGCCCGGCGCGTAGGCGGGACGCGCCTATGCCGCGAGTGCAGCCCAGACCTCCCGTGTCCTAGGGGGGGACGTGGTCGGCGACTGCAAAGGGCGCGGTTACGCAGGGGTGTGGTTTGCGATCGGCGCCGATGGTGCCTGGGAGGCATGGCCCTGGCCTCAAGTGGGCATGTTCCTCTACAGAACGAGGAATGTTCATGAGTAGCCAAAAGATAGTCAGGGGACGATCTGTTGACTGTTTTTGACCACTTTTGAGTATTCCTTGACACTTTTTCATTTTTCCTCCAGAA